GTGTTAACCCTTAGAATATTCTAGCCTCTGCCTCTTCTCTAAACACCATTTAATAACATCAATATAGATTTTATAGAGGTTTTGCCTGAATCAATTGGTAAGGAAGTCATCTTTGTTGTTGTCATTCATTTTTGGGCCCCACGTGTTGGAGATAATGTGTACCTCTCTTGAACCAAATGCAGGGGTTTAGTTCATGATTGTGAGGAATTGACAAAAACAAAGAAAAAATAAGTTTTTTTTTTCAAACCATGTTTCAGCTCTTTTCTACTCTCTTTATCCTTTTTTTTTTACTGCAAAAATTCCTTCCTTCTTTATCTGATCTTTAAGGTTAGATAAATCTCTCAGAATTTGTACTAAAAAAACTGATTATGTTGTTGTCGCAATTATGTTGTAATACCACTTTTTTTTCTAATTTAGACTTTGATTCTTATTTGGTTTCAAGCAATATCTAACCATCCCAACTATATTCCATCATATATGACATGTTAAAGAATTGACCTACACCTTTATTGGGTCCTAGGGCTCACTATTCTTATGTTGGATTTTCAGTTAGATTGGGATGCTTGACATTGTCAGTTTCCAAATCAAATTATGAGACCTTTATGACCAACCAGATTGCAGCCAGATTTTGTTCTTCAAAATGAATTTATCTCACTTCGAACCCTTCATGAAAGTTATAGTCTTGTATGTTTATATGAATTTGAGGTTTTGAATCGTCTGATTTCAATATCAAAAGCTCAAGATATTCCTCTTTGAATATCTAATATGAAAGCATAGAATCCTGCTACGAAAAGCATTTAGGAACGAGTTCACAGGTTTGATTTGAGGGATTATGGACCAATTTGAATGACTTTTTATAGACCAAGGACTGATTTGAAAAGTGTTAAAATGAGAAATTTATTCGAGATGAAATTAGAAGGAAATGGGCTGGTTTTTAAAAAGTTGAAGAGGGGGACTGGATTTTTAGAAAATGACAGTAATTCTACTATGCCGGATAAGAAAATAAGACTTTGTAGAATGTACCCTTTCTCATCTGATTTATTTTCTTTTCTCTGCAACTTTCCTGTTAGTTTCTAAAATTCTCTCGCTTGATTTTTAAGAGCTGCAAACCATGTTTTTTCTACCTCAGTCTAAAGAAAATGGTTGGTACCTCACAATGGCAGCTACAAAAGGAAAGAAAGGAGTTGTACCATCATTTGATCACTAGAGAGTAATTACTAGAATCATAGAATAGGAATTATAATATTTTAGTTTCCTCATTTTCATTATTTGATTGGAAATCAGCCTAGATTTACATCCTGGATTAGTGTATTTTGTTTCCTAAATAGAGTTATTGTTTAGGCTATATATAAACCACCTCTATTGGAAGAAGAGAGGGGGGGGAAGAAAAAGAGGAAGGTGAAGAAGAGGAGAGAAAGGAAACAATACAGAGGGAAATACAAGAGAAAAAAATAAAACACAAAGCAAGGCTGAACTAGGAAAGGAACAGAAAAGCAAAGAAAGAGAAGAGGTGAGACTGAATGGTGAAGTAGAGAACACAGACAGTAGAAAAGGTTAGCACCACCATCGTCTTCATCTCTCTAGAACCAACTATGTTCACTTTCTTTCTCAGTCCCTATAATAAAAATGATGCATGTTTAGTCCATGAAAAGGAAAAAAAAAATGCAAGAAAGACAATACTAGAATCATCATTCTCTAGTTGTATAGTAACTATATGCTTGTGTTCTTGCTATCTGCATGAAGAAGCATAAACAGTGCGAAGGTAATTTAATTACATTTGCACTATTCATACACGCATAAAGTTCTATGCATGCATGGCCTAGTTGGGTCACAAGCTTGGGCCAATGACAATGTTGGGTCCAACCCAGCCATATGGGTCGGGCTGGGCCCAGTCCGGGGAAAAAAAGAAAATTTTCTTTAAAAAAATTATTTAAAAAAATTGATGATTTTCTCGCATATTTTTTCTACTAAATTTTACTTAATAATGGTTTGTATTTTTATACCACCAAGATACAAATAATTATTAAAATACCCAGTTTTCATAAAAAACATTGAAAAAAATATTTTTGTTTTCATGCATATGGTCAAGTATCTCAAGAAAAAATCATATTGTATTTTTATATAACCAAAACTCAAAAAATATGTGTTAACATGCATTTTGACTTTAATAACCAGTTTATTAAAGCTACAAGAACTAGATCAAAATTCAAAAAAAAAAACTCCAAAAAAATCATTTTGTTTTCTTTTAATATTAAGGATTACGTGTTTATACATAAGGCATTATCTCGATATTAAAAAGATAGTTTTTTTATTAACTTTATAATGGTTATGTTTTTACTCGATAAGATAAGGACCTCCTTACCGAGGAAGACTTTTCTTAAACCATAGATAGACCAATAACTAGAAAATACGACAAGACTTTATATTTTATCAGACAATAAAACAATGCAGCTTACCTTACGTGTGACGTATTTGGGGTGCTAATACCTTTCCTTTACACAACTAGTCACCGTACCTGATATCTAAAATTAGTTAGGGTTCTTAGTGACCAAAATATTAGGCGACAACTCTCATTCTATTTTTCCATTAATAAAATACAAGAATTCTTTGTCCTTATCTCTCCATATTTGTTGATTTTTCCAAGATATCAACATCTAGGATTTGAGAGTGGACACGATCATTGCGACGTCGCATACGTGTGAAATTTATGGTTGTGGACCAATTTAACAAATATACTCATTTTATGGCCCTAGTTCATTCTTATATTCCTTCTATAGTGGCTAAGGTTTTCATAGACAATATTTATAAATTGCATGGGTTGTTTGTTTCAATAATAAATGATAGGAATATTGTGTTTTTGAGCCCTTTTTGAAGGAATATTTTCACTTATCAATGAGTGGATCTACATTATTCTATAACTTATCATTCCTATTTAGATGGGCAAACTAAGTTAGTCAATAAATGTCTTGAAAATTACCTCAGTTATATGACTAGTGATGCTTCTACTCAATGATTGGAGTGGTTATCCTTAGTTGGGTGGTGATATAACACCAACTACAACATTTCAACCAAATTTAGCTTTTATAAATTTCTACGTAGATTAACTCATCCTATTTATATTTCATACTTTCCTAAAGACTTGATGATAGAGGTTATTGATAAATTTTTTACTAAAATGAAGGAAACACTTAAGGTGATTAGAAGCAATCTAAAAGTAACTCAACAAATGATGATTAAACTAGCAAATAAAAAAAAAAGAACATTTAATATAGGAGATCTAGTTTATCTCAAGTTTTAACTTTATATACAAAATTACATGGTTCCTCATTCTAAGTATACACCTTATATTAAGGTTAAATCATGCAAAGTTATAGTTTTCATTCCATACCGGAAAAGAAAAGTATTGTTGGGTTTTGACCAAAATAGTGAAGGAGTAGCTAATATTTTCCTGTTAAGTTTGGTGGTGATTCTAGACAATTGAATAACATTGAAGACCTTTTGACATTTTTAGTATTCATCAAAGCTTTATTGCATCCTATCTAACTATCTAATATAACTTGCAAGAGTGACGATAAGCGATATTATAATTGACTTCTTCCATGTATTAAGATTTATATGATTGTTTTATAAATGAATTCTTTCTCTTTTAATATCCAAATGAAAGTGGAGATTTTCTTCTTATGGTACATTTTTTTATAAAATGGGCCAACATATTCTTTATTTATGTTTTCTTATACAAAACTAATTATGGACCAAGTAAGCAATATGTATAGTATTGAAAGCAAGAAATAAGTGTGAAATTTCAAGGAACAAAATTTGATGATGCCATTTTAGTGTTTAAAAAATGAAGGAAGTCTGGGGTTCTTAATCATTTTCTCTTTTTTTAAAAAAAAATCTAAAAAGAATTAGGGGAGCGGGTTGTGGAGAAATATAGTTCTAATAAAAATCTAAATATTGTATATAAAGGCCAGAGCATGAATAATTTTTAAAAAGCAATAAATTAATTGACATGTCAACATATTGAAGAATATTAGTGATCGATTTGATCGATCAATTTCAGTTAAAATATGATGAGGAATATTTTTTTCTTTTAAGAAATAAAGGAATACATGTTATTGTTTATATATAAAAATAAACATCAACATAACAATCAAATGAGAACATTAATTGTTCATGTTTAAATCAAAAAGAGAAGTTGAAATTAATTATGAGTAGTGGAATTGATCAAGTTTAAACATTACTAATTGATCAAGGAAATGAGAAATTAGTTACCTAGATGGTTAGGAATCACCATTGACAAAAAAAAAAATGATAAACTATAGGATTTTAAATTAGTATGAAAAATAAAAGATTTCAATTCTATTTAGAGTGAAAGTCTTTCACAGGTTAAATAAACCTTGTGATATAATTTAGTAAGGATTTACATAATTATTAGTAAAAAAAAATTAGTTTGTATTATAATTTACTATATCTTATAAATGTTGCTTGTATAAAATTAGAATTAAATGTTTAAATGTAATTTAAACATTATATAATGTAAATAGGATCATTCAATTATTGAAAAAGATAGTTAGCTTCATGTATATGAATTTTTTTTTTTATGGTTTTGCTTTTATTTACAACTTTTATTTACTTCCTTGCTTTATTTATTTTTTTCACTTTCAATATCTCTTCTTGTTTACCTATTTTTGTTTTAGTATAGTGTTATCAAAGATAAATATATTTATTTAAAATTTAAAATCTTGAAATACTCATATTTTATTTGATTTTACGATGATGTCATATATCTTTTTTATCCGGATTCAATTGCTAGCTATCATATTTCCTTCTTAGAAGTAAAAAAACGATTGATGGGCAGCATAATTGAACAGAAAATTGGTGATTGGTGAAAAGATAGACGCGTTAGATCAACAAAATCAATATTATTTTGTGGTCAAGTAAAAAAAGGTAGAATATTAAGTTGCCCAGCTGGGCAGGTTAAATGTACTCAAAACTAAAATCCAAATTCCAAGGCTATATGATACCAAGGATTAAGGAAGACTCTTACGTGGTTCCCTAGGTTCCTGTCTCGCCTCTCTTGTCAAGTCTTACCTGTCCTTGATTTAGATCCAAGTGAAACTCATAGCCAGTGAAACTTTTGTCTTCGAAGCATTCGAACTCAAGAACAAAAAAAAAAAAAAATCCAAATCTTGCATATACATAACGCATTTAATTACTCCAGTCTCCTGAAGGGTAGTTTCAAAAAAGGCCACTACACTTTTTATCGCCATTACAGAATCTAAGGGCCTTGTTTTTGTGGGTAAGTTTCCTTTTTCCTTCATCGCTTTTTGTGAAAGTGGGTTTGTTTTTAGATCATCAAAATGCTCTGCTTCTACATTTAGTACTTGTTTTTTTATGGATGTGGTTGGTTTTGGATTGATTCTATTATAAGGGAACTTGGTTGCTTCATGCTTCCGATATGGAAGTGTTATAGATCTTTTCTCATTAATTGATGCACTGGGATCACTATCATGTGTGCACTAGAGCTTTGATCCGTTTCTTTAATTTGTTATATTCGAGTGATCGTTTGTGTCGGCCGGAAGCTATATAGATCAGATCCTGTATTTTCATGGTGAGTTATACAATTTCAGTTTCATGACAATGGCATGCATGTTGGGGTCGCTTTTGCCTTGTATTGATGGGATTTGAGTTTGGATTCTCAGTTTTGCATTTCGTAGTTAGTAGATTGATTTGGACAAATTGGTAGTGCTGACAATAAAGAAAATTTGTAACAATGAGGCACAGATAATTAAATTTGTTAATTGCCAATCATTTCAGTAAATGAAATTCTTTAGGCTTGATAAATTTGATAGCTGAGGTCGTTTTCTGTAGCCCCTTTTGTTTTATTATACATTTTAGATTAGTTTGATATCTCTTAGCAGGAGCATGGAAATGATATGAGTTTTACTTTTTAGTAGATTTCAAAAGGAGAAGTATTTGCTGTGGTTGAGGCATATTCAACATGTCCCGGTTATCACCTCGTAGGAACCAGAGATCAAAAGGTTTTAAGGTCAAGCATGCTCTGCAAATATGTCTTCTGATCGGTGTTTGCGGCTGGCTACTTTACCAAGTGAAGCACTCTCATGATAAGAAAGCAGCATATGAGAAAAGTGTGAAAACAGAGAATGATGTTGTGAAATTAGGGAGAAAGGACCTCCAGCCTGAAGTCAAAGAAAATTTCATTGGAGATGAGAGGCACAAGGAGGAGGAAGAGGAAGAGAGCAAGAGCGAAGAAGAAAGCAAACCTGATGATAACACAGGAACAGAGGGTGGCGATGATGAGATTCATGATCATTTTCATGATAAGACTGAGCGTAGAGAAGATTCTATAGATGGGGAGAAGGAAGCAGAGGATAAGACTGAAGAGGGAGTTGAGCATAGAGAGGATTCTGTGGATGGAGAGAAGGAAAGGGAAGTGAGAAATGAGAACGTCAGTGAAGGGATGGAGAGGGAGGGTACAAGGGATAATGTTAATGATGACAGCGAGAAGGGAGAGGTCAGGGAGAATGCTAGTGAGGATAAGGAGACTGAAGAGAGCAAAAGGAGTGATGGTGAAGATAAGGAGAATGTAGAGGGAAAAGAGATGGAAATTGAAGAGAGCAAAGAAAGTGAAAGCATAAACAAAGAGACTGAAGAAAGCAAGGAGAATGAAGAGAGCAAAGAAAGTGAAAGCGAGCACAGAGAGAATGAAGAGAGCAAAGAAAGTGAAAGCGAGCAAAGAGAAAGCCAAGAGAGGAAGGAGAATGAAGAGAGCAGAGAAAGTGAAAGCGAAAACAGAGAGAATGAAGACAGCAAGGAGAATGAAGAGAGAAAAGAAAGTGAAAGTGAGCACAGAGAGACTGAAGACAGCAAGGAGCACGAAGAGAGCAAAGAGACTGCAAACGAGAATAAAGAAAATGCAAGTGAAGAAAAGGAAAGGGCGGAAGAGAGTCAGCAGAAGGAAATTAAAGAGGTTGTGGAACAAAGCAATGAGGAAGAAAATAAAGAAAAAGAGTTAGAGAGTAAAGTTACAAAAGAGGATCAAGTTAATGATGGAAATAATGCACATAGTGAGGAGGCAAGGGAGGAACATTACAAGGGGGATGATGCATCCAGTGCAGTAGCCCATCAAACTCAGAATGATACGCCTGAAGAGGAGCAAGGTGATTTGAAGAAATCTGGTGAGGGAGAGCCAGTGGAAAACAAAGAGAAGAATCAATTAGAGTTTGAAAATAGAACAAATAATACTGACGTGGTTGACTTCAATCAAAATGAAGTTCCAAAGGTGAAAGAATCTGACTCCGGAGAAAATGATGATTCCGCAAATGCAAAAACAAGTGAAGAGGGTAGTAATGAAAATAATAAGCAAGACTTAGAGGATGGTTCCCATGATACTTCCACGGTAGCAACAGTGAATGAACAGCAGCATGAAGATTCTAACTCCATTCAAGTTACTGCAGATAACGTGGCATCAAAAGAAGAGGAGTCAACCATGAATAATGTTGTGCTAGAGCAAACTGAGAAACCTGAATCAGTTGCTAGCAACCAGCAATCAGATTCAAACTCAACACATTCCAGTACAACTAATAATGGAGATTCAACAAATGTAGAATCAATGGACTCTAGCAATTCTGGATCTGTTGCGTCCAATGGACAGACCAACTCCATTACACCCTTGTTGACAAGCCAAAATGGTGATGCAGCTCAGATTGACAAGTCCAACAGTAGTTCTAGTGTTGAAGGGAGTACGGAAATTGTTCTACCATTAAACACAAATGAAAGTGCTGATGCTGGGCAAACCGGACATGGTGATTCTCTGCACTCTGAACAGAAAGACACATCCTCAAACACAAATAACGATGCTAATACTGGCCAAGAGCAACAAGGTAACAATTGGAGCTCTCAAGAGAAAGATAAGTTATCAATCAGTAGTAACAATGATGGTGCTGACCAGAGTTCTGCTACCAGCAATGCAAACAACAACGACAATGAAAATGTCAACGCTGATGCAAGCCAAAAAGAACAGGTTGATCCTAACAATGGCAATGCTGGCGAGAACAGCCACTCAAACTACAATGGCAATGCAAACGAAAACACAGATGCAAACCAAAATGAACAAGTTGAATCTTCTGATTCTTCAACGTCTCGAGAAGAAGGAGATGTATCCACAAACACTAGTAGCAGCATCGATGTGAAGCAGAATGGTTCTGTTGATTCTTCCATTTCTCAAGAAGAAAAGGAGGCTCGAACAGACTTGGGAACTTTGCCTGGTTCTGGAACCAAAGGAGCTAATGGTGGAGATGCAGCTACGGAGTGAAGTTTCTATTAGGTTACAGGGTTTACTTGAACCATTATTCTTGTCATTAAGATTTTGGATTTTTTCCCCCTTCTCCCTTGATGATCAGGAAATGTGCAAGGTTGTGCTTTACTGCAATTATACTATCTAAAGAATATTTTACGTTGCTTTTCTACGTGAACAAGTAGACAAGAGTATTGAAGATTTGTTGTATCAGAGGCTTCAATAAGATTAAAGCAGAATCCTTGTGTTTGTTGTGATTAGAGCTTCAACAAAGTTAGAAGGCAGACACCACGTGAGCCAACACTTTCCCTAGTTGCAAGTGTTCCTTGCAGTTCACTCATGACTTCGAGATGAGCATTCGGATATTTTCGGATAAAAAGAATTGTTCTTTTAGATAATTACTTTGGATTTTTTTTCTTTTAGTTGATCAAACAATTTGGGTAGTTCGGATTATTTACCCATCACCTTCTCTGAATTACTTTTTTTTTGATATTTTTCTAAAAAATTTATCCCAATCAATTCAGATAACTTGGATGATTCAGGTTTTTCTTATAATGCTCACCCCTAGCATGATGCTTTAGTTAGGCAAGCATTTTTTTTCTTCTGGTATTGTCGGGTCAAAAGCCTCCCCACCAAAATCCCGAGCTGGCTCAAACTCTTTTGGTGATAAACCTACGAGGGTGACTCATTGGTTTAGGGGTCGGATAAAAACTTGTAAGATCATGGTTAAGTTCCACCTCTGACAGACATGCAAGAAACCCTTCTACCATCCTTGTGAGCCAATAGCGGAGTTCAGGTATATCCCATTTTAACTCGCCGACGCTTAGAGCTAATTACATGCTTCTGTTGAGTTTACTCGTCATCTGGAAAAATGAAAGAACGAAAAAACCACCACCATTCATCCTTATCCATTTCCCGCCCTCTAAATCGGATCACTAGACCTTAAAAACGTTCAGCACGTGCTTGATTATGTGAATTAGTAAGGTAGCTGGATCAGCAAGGAAGCTTTTTAGTTCTATCTTGAGATAGAAAATACAGAGATAGCGGCAGATGGTAGAAGAGACTGAGATGGCTGAGACATGTCCTGTTTTAAAATGACAGAAACATGTCCTGTTCACTCTAAAACATTCAGCATTCATTGTAGGAGCAACTCACTCAAGTTCAAAAGCTGTCCTCCAAAACACTATCCATTCCGTACTGGGAAAGAGTAACTGTATAAATTGCAAGTTATTAAAGATAGAAAGATAATATTTCATGTCATTCGTTTATTTTGAGCACTTAACAGGTAACAGACAATGGGACAGAAAAGAAATTCCAACATGCAAAGCCATAAAACTTAAGTGCTAAAATCAAATTCAAAGATCCAAGGTTGTCTCATCGATCTTTCTGAGAAAATGGTAGGAATGTGATAAACAAAAGTACTTTCAGATACTTCCATCCAATACAAAAGTCTCAGTGATGGTCCTCCTTAACCTCAAAGAGTCCATTTGGTCCTGCATGTCACAGAAAAAAAACAAGATAGAAGGCATATCAGATTCAAACAATCACGAATACTGATAGATGTTACACATGAAAAGGCACTTTCACTGAATTTGGCACAAGATGGGTGTGTTGCTTCGGCACAGTTATGGCCTAACCTTGTTTGTGGCAAATATAATACAACATTACAAACTAAATAATCCAACCAACTAATGCCCATGGATTGCTCCATTTTCACGTTGGAATCTGCATTATGCTGAACTTGAGACTAAACTTATTGCATCCAAAAGCAAAACAATTGCAATCTGCATACTGCTAAGTGCAACCCTAACTTGCTTTGTTAGAAGCTCTACACTACATGCCGTTATATAATACAAACTATTAGCATCATATCATAAACATGTTGGCAACTATAATCTTATAATTTTCATCATTTCTTGTTTGTTAATTGCCTCTACAAACCATCCACTGGAAATACCATTAAAGTTTCAATGCATGGAATCATTAGGCACACCATATGCTAACCACACCAGCATGAGTACCAGAAAATTTGAAAAACTATCCATCAAAGACTTCAACATACAAAATGAATTGCACCAAGCACAGGTCACGATGTAGTTTAGCCTTGGTGAGGCAGGATCAAAGCCTGGGCAGTAAGTTGGACCCTGTGTGGTATCTACCAGGATACTTACAGCAGCATTTCCTATAATAATAGAAGCACCGTACGATGCAGACAACAAAAGCAGACAAGGGTATTTCTGTAATTTTTAGATTTTCTGGAAAAACTGAAAAATCATCCGAGTATTGATTTTATTTTCTATTCAGTATTAGTTCTAAAGTAATTAGCTTTATTAGGTTTTTCCTATTCTAAATAGAACTATTAGCATTTTCTTATATTGGAAGCTGAGTCCTAGAAACTCTACATAAAGGTTTTGTAATAGTTCCATACAGAAAAAGAATCAGTTTACTAGTAAAATTTCAACAACTATGCTTTTCATTGTGTGGCCCAATCTTCCCTTAGGTATTGACTCTTATAAACCCTTGGTGTGAAACTTAGGTTTTTATATCTTCTAGGTGTGACTCCTAATAAGCCTTTCTAATGCAACTCTAGCATTTTTACATTCATCCCCAATCCCTTTAAACAATCTCCATTAGTCCCTTAACACCCCCTACCTTCATACCCAACCAAACTTAAAGACATTAACAAACAAGACTCAATCTATTACCCCCTCCATCAGGACAGTACCACTGGGTCAAACACCTGTTGGTTTGAAAAATGCACTCTACCTTTACTTAGATAAACCTCCATAACTACTAAAAAGTATTGAAATAAGCAGGATAAAAAAAAGCTATGGCACCAAGTACTCAAATCTTCAATTTAAAGTTGATTAAGAAATGGACAATTCTCTAGGAATATCACATAATGGCTGAACTAAATGTGTGAACTACAAACACATATAGCGATCAGTGGCAAATTTCTCAATGTTTAGGCATAATGCAGGCATGGGTTCCCTTAAAAATTATATGACATAAAAAGGTCCCCGGATCTGATAGCTTTCAACCAATCATACAGACTTATTGCTAATCGTACCATATCAAAAAGCTTCTCATGCCACTGCAACATATAAACGTGTACATGTATGTGTGTTTACAAATAGAAAGGATAGTCGAGGCAGTGGCAGTGGCAGTGGTGAGCAAAGGTTAATGATGAATTACACATTCGCAACTATTCAATACAATTTCCGAAGAGTGTCCTTTGGAAATGCATGAAAAGGAACTGCCCCCAGCATCCACAAAATATGTAAACAGAAGAAACTAAGCATCAAAGACTTCAAGAAACATATGAACTGAACCAAGAACAGGTTTGAAGTATTGAAACTGGCTCAGGCTATTAATCTCCACACACACCAAGAAAACAAAAAAAACACACCACGCAATTTTGGGCAATATTTGATATGGGCATCATATATTCACCAGCCAATTCTGATAGCAAGAGCACAATGAAACAGAAACCACCATTCTCTATGGACAAGCTAAAAGCCTCGATTCAAACTATCAAAACATCCCCAGATCAAAATCCAAGTCTACCAGAAAACACAAAATCAACAAAATGCAAAATCACAAAAACAAACCACTATGATAATTTCAACATAATTGGCCAAAACAAACCATTTAAGCTCAATAAAAAACCAGAAAGATTTTCCCAGTCATGGAAACTCGAGATCCAACAAAAAAAAAAACATACCCCATGGAAACTCCTTGTTGCGAATGTGCAAATATGGGTACTCCTGCACATCGAATTGAAACACAAATCTAAAGCATAAATCAATCAGATGGACAGACTAAAACTGTATTGAAGAGATGAATCAAAAGAAAACGAAAGCTCACAGGAGGGGTTTCGTGGTGAGGATGACCCTTTGATAAGTTATAAATGGCCAAGATAGTGCAGCTCGCAGCACCCAAGTACGTTATCTTTTCCCACTTCGCAGCCTCGTCTAATTAAAATCGATAAGAAAAACCCAGAAAAAGAATCGAGATCAAGATCCTGATTCTGATAAATAGAATGAAAAACAGAGAACAATACATACAAGCATCGTCGTGATGGGCAGAGGATGAAAAGCCTCGTCTAGTAGGAGCAGAGGGTTTGGAGGCGCTGCGAAGAGAGTTTCGAAGTAGAGCAGATCGCATCATAGAAATCGCCATTTCTTCTCTTTCTTTTTTTTGCTTTCAAATTTGAGCAACCCTACCCCCTGGCTGGCTGGCTCTCTCTAATAATCAGTGGGTAGGGCTTTGGAAGGTTAATTATGAATTATTTTCTTTAAAATGAATTAAATAACTTTTTTCAGTTTCAAAAATTAATTAATTATACTCTTTTGATTACTTTACTGGAAAATATTTTATTTTCTCTTCAATATTTTTCTATTTTTTTATGAAATGGAGGAAAATTATTAAGTTACAAATAATTTTAAGAGTATAGGAACTAATTAATTAGTTTTTAAAACTAAAGGGACTTCTTAAATTTATTTTTGCAAACCTAGAAGGATAAATTTATAATTTCCTCCAAAAATAAGAGACTATAAGCAACAATGATGGGGCAAAGCCACCTCCATGATAATTTTTATAAAAGAGATAGCATTTTGGAGATTTTTGAAAGAAAAAAATATTAATTATTTTTTTAGTTTAGAAATTTTTTTATTTTTATATTATATTTTTCTAGTTTTTTTATTTAAAGGAAATTTTTTTTAATTTTCTTATTCTATATTAATATGGTTTTATATTTTTTTATATATAAAATATTGCAATTTCCTTTTCATAAGTGAAACTTTAATTGATAAAAATTTGATATTTTCTATTATGGTGTTTTGATTAAGTTTTTACTTGTAATAAATTTTTTTGTTTTATGTTTTCAGTGATGTAAATTGGTATTAGGCCTAATAATTCTCTGTGATTAAGTTTTTGTTTATTTTTGCAGTTAGAAAAAAAATTTGATTTGAAAACTTTATTTTTTATTTTAAATCATTTTTTTATATTTTTATATTGTTATTAATATGGTGATATCAAAAATAAATTTTAAAAAAAATTAAAAAATAATAGCCTTTTAAACAATGGGTCAATAATAATTTTAAAAAATAAAAAATATATATAAAAAATATAAAAATATATTAAGTGTCTTGGGTCTCGCAGCAACCTAATGTTATTAAGAAAAAAGAATTCAACTAAGCCAACCTTAAATGAAAAAAAAAATTATTATTACCTAATTTTTATGGAATATAAAAAAAAACATCTATTTATTTTTTATTTATTGTATAAAAAATAATTACATAAGAGAAAAGAAAAGAAAATTAAAATAACAAAAAATAAAATTAAATATATTTAAATATAGTTGAAAGTCGGACCAATAATTTTAAATTTAGCTGCGAATCAGATATAAGTTTAGTTGTCAAATCTTATTAAAAGTGATTTGAATTTAATTTAGGAAAAAAACTCAACAGTTTTTAACACAAAAAATAAAAAAACAATACCCTAGCAATAATTTTTTAATTAAAAATCAACAAAAACAATGCTTATGTACTGTCACAATATCACTTACAATACAAAACACTATATACCTACAATGTAATCCACCATAAAATAAATCTATATCCACAAAAAAAAAAAAATACAGCATTTTTCTCATGTTTTTTATACAAAGGTCTAGGATCCGTGATGGAGCGGCATGTTACTCTCCTTTTTCCGCTGCAGTTCTTGTCCATCCATCACATGAGCCACAAAACCACATTCTTGGCCACAAACTAGCCCTAAGAAATAACAGTTTCGTCAGGCCTTTTTTCTGCGGTCCCACAAGTCCAAACTCCAATCTCAAACGCAGGGCGCAACGCAGGCTTTGAAAGAACAAGTCAAGGTGCCAATAATTTGATCTTCTTGGAAGTAATATATTTTAGACCAAATGGATGGTGATGTTCGCAGGAAAGTCTCGTTTGTTGAAATTCTTGCAGCACTTTTTGAAAGATTGGATCTCAATTTTTGGACTCTTGATTCAAGCACTCCAATTACCATAATAACCTCCGGAAAAGGATGGATCACACAATTGGTCCGTGGCTCACACAATTGGTCGGCATTTTTATTTCCTTGAGCTGAAAGATGACAATATTGTCATTGAAAATTGAAATTGTTCTAAAATAAAATACTCTAATCTTGGACGAAGTATTGCTATGATTGGAGACCATATTTGTAATTATTATATTAATCATACTCTGTCTTGTGCATTATTAAAATTACGTATGCATTTGGTACTGTAATGCAAATTGTTTTTAAAATTATTTTTTATTTTAAATTGTATTAAAATAATTTCTTTATGTTAGTGTATTAAAATCATCTGAAAATTCTTTAAAAAATAATTTAATATTTTTTAAAATTAAATACATTTTTAAAATGCAATTTCAAGCCCACGAACAAAGATTACCGCATCTTGGCTTTCATCAACAATAGCTAGCAACAGCAATCTATTAAAGACGTGGCATTGTAAATATCTCGCTTGGTGACGTGGCATTGTAAATATCTTACTTGGTTGAACTTGCTTCTAGAGAGATTGGTTGAACTGGCTTCTAGAGAGATTGGTTGAACTTGCCTTTTACTCTGCTTCATTTGAAAAGTTATTTTTTTAAGATTTTTTTAATAGTTTTAATATATTAATATTAAAAATATTTTTTTAAAATATTGTTTTAATATATTTTCAGTTAATTATCAAATGTATATTGTTTATTGAATCAATATTAAAAATATTTTTTTAAATAATATATTTTTAGTTAATTATCAAATGTATATTGTTTACTAGAATATTGAAATGATATTTTTTAAAATTTATTTTTAATATTAGTATATTAAAACAATAAAAAAATCCTTTAAAATTAAAAAATTATTTTTTTAAAAAAAGCACAGTCACTTCCCAGTGACAGACACTCCCTGGATTCACTTAACACTAGTTTAAAGTTCAAAATTCTACTACACCGACAGAAAACATAATCACTGAGTAATTAGCGATGCGTGAAGGAAGAGTCAAGCCCCCCCCCCCCCAACCAATAACAAGAAGAAGAAGAAAAACTTAACTATCATAATGAATATAAGAGATTAATTTTTATTGTATTTTATATAAAATATAAATAGATTTTAATTTTAATATTTGTTAAGAATTGTGATAGAAATAAAAAAACAAAGATCATATTATTTATATTTTCTCTATAATTATAGCTAAATTTGGATGCCTAAAAATTGTATTATCTTGAAAATGATTATAATAATATGAGAAAGGATCATAATAATATGTGAAATGATTATAATTTCATCCACGACAAAAACAAATAATATTTTAATCTAAAAATAATATTTTCATGCCTAATTATAAAATTTATGTTTTATCCAAAAAAAAAATCAATCAAAATATCTTTACATCTATACAACTTTAAAGTAAAGTTGGATACGACAAAATAAAATTACTATCAAGAATGTATTAGCAACTAATAATTACATGGAGGTCTTGAAACTCTGAGCTAAAAATATAGAAAACAAATTATCAAAATTGCAGGCATCCAGGAACGTGGGACCCTCGAAATCATGATCAAACTTCCAGAGATCTCAGCTTCATTAACTGCTTGACACTGTTTTTTTTATGATCACCATCCTCTCTGGAACAGCTGTTTGGAAGTTGTAATTCTTCAAGATCAAGCAAGTGCACAACTTCTTCCATGTTCCGTCCCGCACGCAACAACACAATTGACCACATCCTACCGTGCCAGAACACATCCTCTTTATCAAACTTTGTGGTCCCACAACCACCACCAGTCTCCTTGATCCCCTGATCACAGCCGTTCATCATCTCTCTCACCTCCTCTTCTCTCCACCCTCCATCTCTCAACCTCCGAAACACCTCTTCCAAGCATTCCCTTAATTCAAAATGATCTGAACCCCCACCAACATCTTTCCACCACCCAGAAGTCTCTCCACGTGACACCACTCTCCTCCCTCTCTCCGCCACCTCCGTCCAAAATTCTATCTTCCGGGCCTCTGTCGCTGCCCACGCAGGCACATTCATGGATACATTTTCGTTTCTTGACAAACGTATAGGAAACCCCATTTGCGAGAAATCAACTTGTTGAAAAAACCTAGTAACATCAAAGCTCAAAACACACACTTGTTCATCATCAACGTGAAAGACGGGGTTACCGGACACGTTAGGGGAAGAAGGAATATAACAGTTTCTATAAATAGGCACAAGAACTGGTGCTTTATCCAAGAACTGTTTTGCAAAATCTAGGGCTTTGTTGGTATCTTGAGGTTTATGACCCCAAGAATCAACCCAGAAGTTGTTTAGAGAGATATTCTTAGAGAGGTTCAAGGAAGGAAGGTTTAAGAGGATTTGGAGTTGTTGCAAAGAGGAGGAACGCCAGTTAGGGAAGTGAGGTCCGATGGGGAGTCCTTCTTGGAGAATGGACCGAAGGTCAGGCGGGAAAGTGAAATGGAAGGTGGATTCGATAGAGGTGAATTCAGAGTCTGTGAGGCCAGGGAGGATTGGGATGTTGAGTGATTTGAGGTGGTCTAATAAGGTCTTGGCATAGGCAGCAAAGGAGAAACATACTAGTACTGTGTTCTGTGTTGCTGCTGCCATATATATATATATATATATAGAAATGAATGATGAAGAAGAAGACTAGATTGAAATATATATAGATAGAGAAGAGAGATGAGAAGAAGTAACAAAATATTGAAGATAATATATAGTAAGAAATTAGGGTTTGTGTTTGTGCAGGACGGATCATATATTATTGTGGTTTAATCTGTTACGAGGAAGAGCGAGTTTGGAGGAGGAGAGTGTATGGTTTGTGGAAGTAGCCAGGATGCGAAGAAGTCTCCAAGGAGTTAAAGATCCGTATGGGTATGAAGAGACACGAGTTTGACTTGGACTAGTATACGAGGAGAAGGAGGAGGAGGAGGAGGAGGAGAAAAGCTAACGTAACAACTCATGACTGCCAACGGCCAGAATGAAGTTGCCTGGGGAGGGGTCGGGTTGCCTTGAGCAGGAAAAATATCGAAGGTGGCTTTTCTATCACCGCCATACTCGTTAAAGAGTTTAAATTAAATTAATATAATTTAATATATGATAGAAATTTAAAAATAATAATTGCTTGACTTTTTTTTTGTGTTTTATTTCTTTTACCTAAACGTGATTATTGTATTCCAAATTAATAATTAGATTTAAAACACGATTGGATGCATATCAAGGATTCAAATTAATTATGTTATCTCCTGTTATAATGCAACATGCATTATTTATTACTACACTATTACTAATACTAAAAATAAAGATTTTTTTTTTACTTCAAATTGCCTTATTCCGTAATTTGATTTCCTATAAGAAAAAAAATTAATTGCTATCATAGATAAATATTTTTTTTATTAATATTTGTGTTCAAGTTAGCTTATGCATACTTTAACTAATCCTATAAACTCTAAAATTAACAATAAAAAAACTTGAACTCATAATAATTATTGTGGAGTAAATTCAATATTTAACAAATTGAATTACCCATCAAGTTAGAGTTGGAAAATTCCACCTTATATTTATATAAAATGAATATATCACTGAAAAAAATTATACTTCATACAAGATGAATAACAAATAAAAATTAAGAATTATCTTCTAGAAAAAAAATTATGTTAAAATTAAAATGAGATTGAGAAAGAACAATTTTGTTTTTCCTTTAATTGTTAATTTATTAATCAAGGGTGTCTCTAAAACATAATATATTTGGCTATACATACATACATACATACATACATACATACATACATACATACATACATACATACATACATACATACATACATACATACATATATATATATATATATATATATATATATATATTATCCCAGAATGGAGAAGAGATAATTATGTAACTCGACCACTCATGGAGCGAATATATATAGGTGTTTAAGATTATATATATATATATATATATATTATCCCAGAATGGAGAAGAGATAATTATGTAACTCGACCACTTATGGAGCGAATATATATAGGTGTGGCATATGGTGTTTTTATAAATAAATTTTAATGTGAAAATACTGGAAAATAACTTTTTTATAATTTTTTTTTACATTAGTATACCAAAATATTTACAAAATACTAAAAAAATATCTATTTAATATTTTTTTTCAAGCCTAAAATACTTTTAAAATAAACTTATAACAGAAGTTACACCATACATCTTCCATATAACGTTTATATTAATGAAATCCAGCTTCACATGACAAAAATTTAAATAAAGATATGTGAATCTATTATATATCGATCCCATCATATAACAATTAAGATATATAACAATTGACTGAAAAGGTTGATCTAGTAGTTAATGGGTCATGCTCTTTTTTTAATTTATAATTTAAATCTCAGGACTAACAATTATAAGAATTTATTATTAAAAAAAATCATAGAAAATACATTTTTAATTAAAACCATTAAAAATAATAATATATATTGATTGATGTACAAACTATCTATAAAATATATCTTGTCATTTAATAAAAATACATAATTAATCACGACCTTGGATCCCCGCAGCTAGCCTCTGCCTTGTTTAATTTAAATTTATAGTGTATTAAAAATCTGTATCGTGCCTCGGCTCCGACCCGTCCAATCTATTTAATTGGGAAGCAAACACATCGTAATATCCTGAAATCATGCTAGAATAGGACCCCATTAATCATCGATCTCTATGAACATTGTAAGGTTTCTAGCGTCGTGGAATATATGGCACCGAGACATTCTAGGATGCACTCGCTATATGGCATGGAAATCTGGTCTTAGAATCTGATTAGGCTGTGAGGAATGATGACAATTGGGTGAGTTCATTTTGCTTGTGGCCTCGCGTCTGATACTGTCAAATGGCTTCCCGTGATGCAATATCCTAATCCAGAGCTTGAACGTGCAAGTTGTCATTGCTGCAAAATCTTGACCATATGGCGTGGCTCAAGTCGAGATAGACAAAAGGACAACATCGTGACTTAAGAGTAAAGACTTGCTGTTGATTCGGACAAAGGTTTCAAGGGGCCATGTGTGGTGGACGGAGGATAAAAACTAAGATGGATGTTGATTTAAAACAATGCTCTGAATTGCTTGACCGGATAGCTGCTGGTCCTGGACGAAACCGGTGGCTGCTATCCGCTCAGAGCTATGGCTTGGCCTCGACGGGGTAGTTGTTGTTCGGTCACGACTGCTGGGTAAAACAGGTGCTCATCTGGGTAGCCAGACAACTTGTTGATCCCAATGGCCCAACCAAATAGAAATTCTCTTGCAGGCCAACTGGGTAGAAAAGGAAAGGAGAGAAGTTAGCAAGCCAAGCAATGTTTAATCACATCTATATTGTTAGGCCTTCTTGATTTTACGGAGTCCTAGTACAGTGCGATGCTGGGACACACATTATCTCTCAGTCTTTTTTTTTTTTTTCAGAGTAATTTTAAGAAAATTCGATTTTTTTATATTTTTAAATTATTTTAATCTAAAAATATTTAAAATAAATTAAAAAATATTATTTTAATATAAAATATCTTAAAAAACAATCTTTATTCACAGAAATTAAAAAGATAGCTTAACTTGGCAGCTCAATGGATCTGGGTTTGGAAATTTTCACTTGGACTGGACTGAGCTGGTTGCCCATGCAGAAGTTTTCAACATCTGGGCTCAATGCATATGCACACACACATTCACACAGCTGCACTTTGAATTCTTCTTATTCTCTTGATTGCCAGTGACGATGGGATTTGATTGTTTTTCTTTGTTTTCTATCTTGTTTAGGGCAACTTCCTCAAAAATGTGTGCTCTGGCTTCTGGTTGAACCTTGCATGGTTCTTATTTTCTAGCTTGAGCTAGGAGTTGAGGCTTGTCAAGTGAAGGTGGAGCATCAACTGAAGCAGCTAATTTCTTTGGTCTTCTCTTTGATGCTTTTCTAGATACAGCACTTCCAGCAACATGAGCAATGAGATCTTCCATTGCTTGCTTCACAGGTGGAATTTCTGCTTCAAGCTTCATTATACGGCCCTTGTAATCAGTTATTTCTGATTGCAACTGACCAAAGCTGAACATGCTCTGCCGAATTCATCCTCACACAAAACCATCAACGTAAACCAAAAATTCACTTATATTGACTGACAACCATTACATAATAAGATCACAGTAAACAATAACAGAAGAGTTAAAGAACACGCACTTGAGCATCCCATGGTTGTTGGTGCTTTTGAGAAAGTTTTTCTGGTGTCCCAATGATGCCTCTTTGAAAAGATTATAGAAGGGATGTTGCGGAACCAGGCATATTTGGAGGTTGTGAACGGACATAGCCGTATGATCCTGGAACAGTATAGGTGCAAGGAGAGCATAATTGCCACCAAGATGAGGTATCCCAAGGCCCTGCTAACAAGAAAAGCTTCAGGTCATAATAATGCCCAGAAGAAAAGGTACTTGAGAGTTCCCTGTGGCATCATTATACTAATATTAATCCTGCCAACTGAGTACACATTTTATCCATAGAGGCGACAATTAAAGTAGTTCAAGATGCATAAACACACACACACAAATTCTATATTGCAGTACATAGCATCCTGATTTACATTAGTAGCCTACATTACCTGGAAAGCATGGATATGGGCAGGCAAATTGCTAGCCCAGGTTGGAAACCTGAGGGTGGTTTTTCAAAGAAGTTCCACCTCCACCCACCACAGCAAAATGCCGGCTACCATCAATTGTTCCAATGGGAGTGAATGGTCGAGGAAAACCAGGTGCATTCACTCCTGGTACCTGGTAACCATAGAGATGGGGTAGACAAAAGGGTATGGTCGATTGTGACAGTAGATGGCTCTGCAGGACATGATGGTGAAGCAATTGCAGGTTCAGCAATTGTTCCCACTGGCTCATGGCAACGCGTAGTGGTGATTGTGTCAGTACATGTCGCTTTGAGCTTGAGGAAGGCTGTTCCACAGTATTTCGAGGAATTGAATTGTATTGCCGATCCCAAAAAGTCGCAGAGTCGCAGAATGGACTATCATCCCTGCTAGCCAATGCCAAATTGGATTGGTTTTGTTGACTGCTCTGCTTATCATCAGATATACAAATTACACAGTCGAAGCTGGTTTCAAGATTAATCAACAAAAAACAAACAAAAAAAAAAGAAATAACAAGATTTTGACAGTGATTTTTATTTCTTGCCTTTTCATCTATAGAATCATTACTCGTATAAAGAACTAGCATTTCATATAACAAAAATAAGGAAACCAATGCGCTGCATGTTATTATTAAATGGAGAGGTAAGAACACACAACACAGAGAAAAAAGTAGAAAAGAAAACCCTAACGAGGAAAATAAAAAAGATTCATACCAGAATTATGAATATGATGCGTTGAAAGTAAAAGTATAACAAAAGAAATTGAGAAATAATATGCATTTGATGAAATGACATAATTATGAATGAATTTAAGAATACATAGATTAAATTTTTAATTTTTAAAATCAGAAGGGCTGTTAATTACTTTTAACAAATTATAGGGCTATATTATAAAACTCTAAATAGCATGAGTCTAGTGACTCGTGTCGTGAGTGGTGATTTACAATTCAAGAGAATAAACTAGTCTGCTTATTAATGACACGTGTACAACGATGGAAATCATTGACGATTTGATTGGTGGCTTATAACGTAGCGTTTGGGAATGGGATAAAATGGGAGGGAAGGCAGATACATTTTCCCTTGATTGGATTGCTCTACCGCATAGTTGTTGATTGAGTATTAATTTTTTTTAAAAATTAAAATAATATTATTTTGATAAAAAAATAATATTTTTTAATATTTATTTTAGACTAAAGATAGAGATGGTAATTTGTTGTCCTCTTTTATTTTTTATATTTTTAAATGAAAATAATTTATTTTTTGTTAACTTTTTTTCCATTTGCATTTAATTGTCATATGGTTAAGGGTATTTTAATAATTAAACATTAGAGGCTCGTGTACAATTCACATGTAAATCTTGATGGGTTTGAATGGTATAACTGAACAAAAATAATGATTTAATACTAATTAAAGATATATAAGTCTATATCATGGCAATTTGAGCATCCTAATATTTACTAGCTATTTAAATTGTGTTTCGCTGTGAATTGTAATTTGTTTTTTTAAAAAAATAGGTATATAAGTTATTTTAATGTATTTCTTATATTAAAAAAATCAAAATATAAATAAAAAAATTTGCGTAAACATCTTATTAAATAGATAATTATCTATGTAAATAAACATAAATAAATTATTGATAATAAATAAAAAAAATTTAAAAAATAAATCAAGATATTTAATCACACAAAATAAAATATTTATTTGGTTGTGTTTCTTAAACTTTAAATTAATAAAAAATAATATAAATAAAACTAATTGATAAACTTACACCCTACAAAATATATCATGTAAAGATAAATATGTTAGAAATATAATTTAAAAATATTTTTTTATTTTAAAAAGTAAGGTTCATTTGTATATATAAAAAAAAATTAATGAATCCACGTCTATATTTCATGTTAACTAATGATACTTTAAGGCTTCCGTAGAAGATTGATGCTCATTGAGTGCAATGAAATGTAACTTTTTTCACCTAACATTTGTTAGGTATTGTAATTACTTTTAATGAAATAGCCCATTTCAATTTAAAATTAAATATTTAATCAATGTAGTATCATATATATATATATATATATAATTGAATCTTTTTTCATCACCTATTTCTTAGTTTCTTTGTTTATTTTTGAAGAAAAAAATCAGAAAGGAAGAAATAATTGAGGAGGAACTAAAAAGACTAAGAGGGACTAATTAATTTAATGAGAGTAGGTTATAATTGATTGATCGTTGACGCCCGATGCCACCAAACATAAAGAGAGCATTCAACGACCACGATTTTGGACACAACCGAGATCCGGATACGATGCTCCTCCTCTTTCTTTTCTTTTTTTCATTTTTTCTTTTTAATGATGGATCGTTTTGAGACAAACTTGATCCTCAAAAATAAAAAATCAGGGTTTTGGTTGAATTTTGCGAGTAATTTTTCAAAGATAATCAAGATAATTTTTTTTAAGAAATTTGTGATCATGTTAGAAACCTATGTTTTATTCTTTTGAAAATGGGAGAAACTATAAAACGAAACGAATTAATTTCTATCTAATTTTGAAAACTAATTAATTAGTCCCTTTCATCATTTTCTCAATCTTTTCTAATTTCTATTTTATTTTTTTAAGAAATAGAAACAAAGAAAAGAAAGTAAATAGTTCAGAAAGATTGAAAGAGAAATAAAACATTTTCCAACATAAAAATAATATTAAGTTAAATAGAACCCAACAATATTCAAATAACAAATCGTATAATTTTTAATAATTCAAAATATAATTTATAATTTACCGTAGAAATTCGGAATGAATGGCAACATGGAAAGCACACTAAACGCGGATATGATGGATTTTGATGCTTTCCACGTTTCCCAATACATTTAGTTTTTGCTAAATCCAACGTTTGACGTCATCAGTACAGTGCATAACATACATCCCATGTTCCTGTATGAAGGCGTCTTCTTCTTCTTCTCTTGCACAACAACTCTAAACGTAGAGTAGATATCAACGACGCAACTCTCTCTCTCAAGAAACAAAACGAAACAAAACGATGCAGCAATCCAACCTACGCATTGCAAGAATTGCAGCCCATATTAATCCTCCAAATCTCCAGGTTTCTCTATCTTTTTATTGAGTTATTTGTTTGCTTGCTTTCTTTGTTTCTTTTAATTAATTGAATCAAGGGAAATGATAAAAACTGTTTTTTTTTTTTAACAAAGATGTTGGAGGAGGATTTGGGTCTGGAGCGGGTGAATTGCCGAGCCAAAGGAGCATCATCTGGCTTCAAGGTTGCTATACTGGGAGCTGCAGGAGGCATAGGGCAGCCACTGGCTATGTTAATGAAGATGAACCCATTGGTTTCTCTTCTTCACTTGTATGATGTCGTCAACGCTCCTGGTGTCACTGCTGATATTAGTCACATGGACACTTCTGCTGTGGTAATTGCCTCTTTCTTTTTCTCTTTTCTTTTCTATTTTTATTTTTGGGGTTCAATTTTTTTCTCATGATGTTTTATTTTATTTCCCTTTTGGTTTAATATCTGTTTTATGGTAATTTGGAATCTGGGTTTGGTTGGCTATGTTATGATGTGTTTTGTGGCGTTTGGGGTTTCAAAATCTGGAGCTATTTATCTGATTTGATGATTGGATGAAGGGTTTTTTTTTAGATTAGTGATTGCTCAAATCATTTGAGACTTAGTTCATCCTTGAATTGCTTGAAACTTCAAATAAGTAAGCAGTTTTCTGAATTTGTGCGAAAGAACTTATGATATTTTGTGATTTGTAGGTTCGTGGGTTCTTGGGGCAGCAGCAATTAGAGGATGCTCTTATAGGGATGGATCTTGTAATCATTCCCGCTGGTGTTCCTAGAAAACCAGGAATGACGAGGGATGATCTCTTCAACATCAATGCTGGAATTGTTAAGACTCTTTGTGAAGCAATTGCTAAATGCTGCCCAAAAGCTATTGTCAACATAATTAGCAATCCTGTTAATTCCACCGTTCCAATTGCAGCTGAAGTCTTCAAGAAAGTTGGTGTCTTTGATCCAAAACGAGTTTTGGGAGTCACGATGCTTGATGTTGTCAGAGCCAATACTTTTGTGGTAAGAACTACGAACCACTGTTGACTCATTTGGGATAATCTTTGCTTCTTTCTACTGCTGATATATCAATGAGTTGCTAATGGCTGGCTATCTGCTGTTAAATGACCAAATTGCTTGCATCTTTTCCACTCCTTTACAACTTTATTATACGCTTTGAAGTCAATTATGATGGATCAATGCATTGGTCGTGACAATGTACAGGTGAAGGATATGATCTTCTTGTTGGAAGGTTTAGTCTTTGTTAATTGTTGGAACCTGTTTCCCTCATTTTCATTCATGATAGAAAGAAAAATCAAATGCATCCCATACTCATTACTGACTGAAATGATATTCAGTAAAGCTGTTGTGAGGCTGATGGCTTCTTTTGCAATAAATTGAGCCTGGAAATTATTTGCTACAAGGAAGATATTGCTAATTTTATGAATTTTCGAGACAAGCAATGTGATTCAATAATCGATGTTACATAAACTATGATGCCAGTATTTATAGACTGTTAATTGCTTGTGTTGCTTTTAATCCACCATGGCATGGAGAATTTAAAATAGCTTAGCTCAGTGCACCTTGTTTTATACAATTGTTTGCTTCTTGTAACTTCTTGTTCTATTTTAGTGTTTTTACTATCATTCACTTCCATTCTGGAATTAATGTATGTGTTATTTTCCTAACTCTATTTACCCCACAGGCTGAAATTATGGGTCTTGATCCTAGGGAGGTTGATGTTCCAGTTGTCGGGGGTCATGCTGGGGTTACTATATTACCTCTTCTATCACAGGTTTAACTTCATTTAAACTTGGGAACTGTATGTATGTTGTATTGTAGTTCTTGTATCACTTATTCTGTCCTCTGTTCTCCGTTGTTTAGGTAAAACCTTCATGCTCATTCACACAGAAAGAAATAGACTACTTGACAGATCGTATTCAAAATGGCGGAACAGAAGTTGTTGAGGTAAGAGATACTTGTGCCATGTTTTTTCATTTTATTTTCGAACAAAAACAACTGTTGTTTTGGAGGGGTTAATTGGGATCATGTTAAACTTCATGCTTGCAGTATCCTGTAGCCTCATCCGATGGCCATTCGAGTCTTGCTTAAGTTGATGTCAATCTTTTTGGCTCTCTTAATAAATGATTTCTGATGGTCCATATGCCTAATTTGTTGCACGGGGATCATTGTAGTAAGGATATGACTGGCAATTCAATGCTGCAAAGTCCATCCAGAATTGCATATTTATAACACATCCAAAGATTGCTATTAATAACAAACAATACATCATGATAAATCTTTTTGTAACATGTAGGGACACAAGGTTTTAAAATTTTTAATACTTGTTATTTGCATGATGTTGCTTATAGAAGATATAATAAATCTACCTTTTCAAACCTCGGGACGCGTTTCATTGTTCTTGTTATTCTCTGTCTTGTAAGAAAGAGTCCCTGAATGTCACCACTACATATATATATAATGTATCCCGAAAGAATGATGTCAAGTTATGGTTTTTGTCTTACTAAGACCAGAATAATTTTCTTTCGATGTCAACTTTGTTTCCTTTTAAAAAAATCAAATACATTGGAATCATAAATGTAGACTGATTGAAAGAAAAAACAAAGAAAGAGAGAAAAACAGAGTTGTGTAAGTTTTTCCAACAACTGTTACAAATGGCAGAAGACCAAGCTGCTTTGGCTGGTAGAGTGCGCGTGGGAGTAAGTATGCAGGAGGGACATAATGAAAATTTCTTACCTCGAGAAAACAATTTGCTCTTGAAAGGCATGTGTTACTTTAGTAGATAGCTTCCTGAACCCTTAAGGACTTTACAAGGCCTATATTATTCCTGGATCTCTGTTCTGCTGCTATTATAATTTTCTGATTTTTGGCCGAGTTCAACTTCAGTTCAGCTTTTTGATATTGTCCTCTTTATTGTAGTACCCAACTGCCACTGCATTAGCTGTAGAAATTATTGACAAGGATTTGATATCAACTGCCAAGTTGTTGCAGCTGTTGGCTTGAAGTTTACATATTGATTATTTTGCTGACAACTCCCTATAGATGTAGTGCCATTCTATTGCCATGGTGTTGTGTTCTTCAATTATGTTTGAGTCAGCATTTGGATGCATTTTGCAGGCAAAGGCTGGAGCTGGTTCTGCCACACTATCGATGGTTGGTTACATTTACTCTTACAATTTTTTTAATCCTTACTGTTCTACTCGTCATTTTGAACTGGTCGAAGTAATGTGACTCAAGATATAAAACAATATTTGCAGGCATATGCTGCTGTTAAATTTGCAGATGCTTGCCTCCGGGCCTTGAGAGGAGACCCTGCTGTTGTTCATTGTGCATACGTGGCTTCTGAGGTTTGCTTCCGGTGTCCTTTTTTAGTGAACCATCTTTTAAATCATTTGTTTTTCTACATTTGAGCATTTAGTGAGTCTAGGGGGCTTGTATGAAACTCACATTCTACATTCTATAGGTGACCGAACTGCCTTTCTTTGCATCCAAGGTACGGCTAGGCCGTAATGGAGTAGAGGAAATTTACCCACTTGGACCCCTCAATGAGTATGAAAGGTCTACAACTATTTGCTTTATACTCTCTTGATGAAAAACCTGGTTAAATTCATTACAAATTTAAGAGAACAGAATCATATCTGTTTATCAACAGGGCTGGTTTGGAGAAAGCGAAGAAAGAGCTGGCAGGGAGCATTCAGAAGGGGGTTTCCTTTGTAAAGAAATGAGTTATGCCATTGATATATTTCAGTGATGGTTTTCTGCCATTTGTGGTTCATTTTAGTACCGTGTTTCCTCAAGGTACCGGTTCCTTGATATAAGTTGTATTTATTTGTTTTAGCTGACAGTAAGAGAGTTCGAATCTTATAATAAAAATGAGGTTTCTTGCACAGGGCTCTGGGGAGATTCATGTAATGAATAGATAGAAATAATAATTATAACCTCTGAACTATTCCAGAGAATACTTGCTAGTGCACAGGTTTGATTTCTTTTTCAAGGACATAATTCTGTAGATGCTAAACGCAGCGCAGCCCAGCCCAGCCCACTTCATGATCTGATGAAGAATCTATTTGTTTTTTTGTTTTAAAAATAATTTTGAAAAATTTAATTTTTTATTTTAAATTAATTTTTTTAGTATTTTTATATTATTTTTTTAGTTAATTTTTTTAGTATTTTTATATTATTTTAACATGTTAATATTAAAAATATTATTTTAATATATTTTTAAATAAAAAAATATTTTGGATAATTGGTTAATAGGTTGACTTACTTCAATAAAAATTGTCTAGTTTTAGGTTTTTTTAAGTTAAATATTATCTTAATTTTTTAAAAAAAACATAAGATTTTAATTGGGATGATGATTTATATTAGTTTGATTGGGTTAATTTTTATTTATTTATTTTTTATTCTGACATGGATTAAGTTTTGGATTGATCGAGTTTCTTCTTGAAAGCAGTTTAGATTGAGATTGTTTATGCAGTTTAATTGTATTTTTAAAATAAATTGAATTTTCTAATGTTTTTGAATTATTTTTATATATTGACGTTAAAAATAAAACCTAAAAAATAAAAAATATATTACTTAATATACTTTTAAATAAGTAAATAAAAAAAAAAGATGAAGAGTCACGCTATGAGAAGTGACTGTCTGAGTGAGTGCAGAAATAATTGAAGGGACAAACATAGAAATAGGAGAAGTGATAAACAAAGACAGAACTGAACAGGATAGTCTGTCAGATGTGCCAACAAGCGTGCTGCATTGAAAAGCCTCATGGATGCCATGTCAGTTCCTCTTCGTGGCAGCCAGCTAAATAGCTTCTGAGATTCATTCTTCGCCAGTCACCTGAACTGTCTCTTCCTCCCTCCCCCAGGCTTTGTGAATCGGGCCTGAATGATTGATTGTGCTCAGAAACAGTGGTAGTCTATGTTTTTGTTCAGCTTACAGCAAAACTTCTCTTGCTTAGTCACATCGATTGATGGGAGCTAAAATAATTTGTTTTTAAACTTATATACTTGTTTTTTTATCTATTTTTCTTTTAAATATTATTCCCATAATAACTTTAATAAGTCATATCTAAAAATATTTTTTAAAAAAATTATTGTTTGAGATTGTCTTTACCAGCTTTATCAAACATTTCTAAATCCTTGGAGATCTTATTGTCTGAGATTGTCTTTGCCAGCTTTATCCAGAAGAGTAATGTTAAGCTTATATGTTAAGAGTTAATTATAACTTAGTCCTTTAGTTTATATAAAAAATTAAATTAATCGATTCTCGTGGAATAAAAAATCATTAAACAGTTATTTGACATCATGGTTAATCGATTAGTATTTTATTTTAAAAAATGCCATTGAGAAAAAGAAATAAAGAAAAGGAATGGGCGAAATAATTAAGTTATTAATGGAATTCAAATCATTGTAGGGATCTCATACTAAGCCAAATTCTGCTTCACCTGCATCTCTATCCAAATCTATTACTTGTCTTTGATTTTGGTTCGATTACATCGAGTCGGATAAAGGATTTTTTTTACTTAGAAAATACCCGATCTCATCCGAAATATTTATTGTTTTAGATCATTTGTTTATAAAAATAAATTTAATATTAAAAAAAATATATCCCTGTATAAAAATCGTAAAGGCATAAAATAAATCAACTCTAAAGCTATACATAAAACCATACAAAAAATTATATGTATTATAACATAAAAATTCATGTCTATTCAACATTTTAAAAAATATTTTTCAGTTAATTCCAGTCAATCCATCAACTATTCAAACCTTAAACTAAATTGATTTAATAATTATTATTTTAATTATTATATTTAAAATATTGCAATTTTAATGTTTTTTAAAATTATATATGGATTGAAATGGTTTTTTTTTTTTTGTAAGATTCTCATTTTTGGTATTAGATGCAAACGAGTATTAATTTAATATTTCTATAGATGAGTAATAAAAAATATATTTTAATTACATTGTCAAACACAAATGAAAGTTTTTACTTTTACTTTCAATTCATCATACTCACAGGCAATAACACTACACAATCAAAGCATGCAAAGGTTAAATGGGTTGAGCAATGATGAAGAGGGAGAGAGCCTGTGAAACATTTCATAATTAAAGAAGCTGCTGCTGCTGCCTTCTTTTCTTATCCTTCCAATTCCCAGGCCAGGCCTGCCTTTCTCTCGAGGCTCCACAAGCTCTGTGTTTGTTTCTTCATGTTCTTGGCATAATTCCTTCACTATGAAATCTTACAAATACAGTCCAATATCCAACGGCTTACATGCATGCCAAGACTATATTTTTTTAATATAAGACAAGACAAACCCTTATATATATATATATATATATATAAGATCAAATTATTGTTGCTTCCCCTATGGTTAATGGATTAATTTTAATCAATCATGAAGGTTTGTGTACAAAAAAAAATTCATTGAAAACACTCTTTTCATTCGTAAAATACAGTCACGTCACAACATATCATCGATGCTCACCACAGTTAATCCTTACTATTGGATGATAAAATTGGTATTATATTTAAATTTCGGAAATGAAAGTATGTTTTACCATATGAATAACAAAATATCACTAACTATTTCAAATAAAAAAATTAATATTTATTTATGGTGTCCTGAAAATATTTTATTTATTTTTTATTGTTAGAACGTGATTTATTATCATTTATCATTGCAGTCCAACTAAGCTTTTCAAAAAAATTAAAATTCTTTTTGAAGAAATTTCAAATTAATATTATTTTTTAATTTTTTTATTGCTTAGATATAGTAATATCAAAAATAAAATTATTTACACTTAAAATAAACACTCATTTACGTATCATGAGACGTTAAATGACTTCATAAAAAGCTAATTGGTTGAAGTTATTCCAGCAAATATCAAATTTACATGTTACCGCTATAATGTAGATCGAGTTATTTGTTTAACCTAACAAGAAGTATTTAGATTGTATAAAATTATTTGATGTTTTTATTAAACCCGACTTAACAGGTTAACCTTAAAACCTTTTTATTTAACTTCTTGATTAACCCAAGTTTAAAATTAAATTACGTGAGGAATGCCTTGATATAACTTAGTCAATTTGACCAGCTCAAAAAATCCTAGCCAACTAGTAAAAAAGATTCGAAGATGAAATTTTTAAAAAATAATAATGAAATTGTCATGAAAAAATCTCTCGACCTAACTTCTTGTTTAGTTAGGATTTAAAATCAAATTATATAAAAGTTGTCTTAACGTGACCTAGTTGCTTTGGTCGATTAGAAACAACCTGGTTGACTCATGAAAAAGGATGAAATTAACAAGAAAAATACCTCTCGATCTATATTCTTATTTAGCATGGGTTTAAAATGAAATCGTGTAAGAATTATCCTGATATAATTTAATTGATTTAACTAGTTTAAAAATAACTTTAACAACAATTAAAAAAAGAAAAACTTTCATGTTTTTATAAACAATAAAACTCCATAATAGATTTTTTTTTAAGATGCACAAGGCACAACAACTGTTTTATTGGATGAAACACTACAAAATCAAGCATGTCCTAGGTTTCTACTCTAGTAATCTACCTTTCGGTTATAGTCTATTTTAGAATCTTTTACCAGGACTGACTCACGTAGACTCACGGGTGATTAAGTGCATTTTTGCTGTTATAGCATAAAGTGCTTTTCAAGATTTTTATTTTATTTTAAAATATATTAAAATTATTTTTTTATATCTTTTATATCAACACAATAAAATTACCAAAAAATACTAAAAAATATTATTTTATTTTTTAAAAAATAAACATTTTTTTTTTAAATACATGAAAACAAAAACTACCGCAATTACACGATTATATCCATCAATTGTCCAGCTAAGATTTCAATGTAAGAATTTGATTCCCAAATCTCACAAATTTCAATACAATTTTATTTCATTTATTTAGTGCTTTATTTATAACTTGATTTACTGCCTTTTTTCTTAGCTTTAATATTTTCTTAATTTTCTATGGTTACTCTCTACTATAAACTCATGTAGTTTATTATGCTTCTTACTATAAAACCTTGCTATCTATTTGCTCATAGTTCAGCTACCGTTGGAAACACGTCTTGCTCGACTGAGAAGTAATTGTCTTTTCTTACAGTTTACTTTAAATTACTAAAAAAATTAGATTTTATTGGCAACACAACAATAAAATCTGTATTTATTTTTTCGGTGTAAAGTGGCATTTTAATTATTTTTTAATGCCATTACCATGATCTTCTTACAAGAAAAGGGCAGCGTAAACTATTATGAGTTAACACTCCTTGTCTTTTTCATTTTTTTATATAGATATATTAACATAGATATTTCCATGCATTTCAATTAATTTTATAAATTTTAAAATTAATAATAATATTAATTTTCAATAACTTTTATATATACATAATTTAAAATAATAATTTTTAAAAAATAAATAAATAATACCCCTTGTCATTTTCAAGAATTATTGACGAAGATGATATATACATACATTATAAAGATACATGGGAGTGGACACGGATGATATAAAAACAAAAATTAAGACGTGGGAGTGGAATTAGGTTAAAGGTTGCTTTAATGGGATATGATTGTAGGCGTCCAAATTAATTATTATTTATGTATGAGATAAAATTGCTTTATCCCCACATTTTTCTTCTCATCACACATGCTCTACTTTATGCTAAAGATTACCAGACAACAAAGGGCCAAAAAGTCCACCTTAGTGCAAAAAAAATTGCCATCTTTACAGATCCTTTTCTCAGCAGTGCCCTACCACCTTGCTGTATTGAATTTTCAAAAGAGTTGAACATGAAAGCCATTGTCATGTCTCCTTTTGCTTTTCCAACATCATCTCAACTACCCCCTTCTCCATTGCATTAATAGTGCTTTAATCAATCACTTTTAAAAGCAAGATAATTGATTGATCCCTTTACGCCAGCGTTCATCGCGCTTTCTAATTCAATTTTGACACTAGTTTATTATC